TAATACACATTATTGAAATTATAACCATATTTTGAATCCACAACAACCATACACAATGCCAACACAACCAAACCCCACCCTAAGCAACCACATACATTACAAACCGACCACGCCAAATAATCGACCACTCGTACTAACTGTTGAAGTGCTATTGCTCCTCGTTTTATATTCAGTATAAAAGAATGTTCTAGAATAGTGTAGAATATTTCATGAAAGACTCGAAAGATATTGAAAAAGACAGCGACGGCCTCTTGGTTACGCAGCATAGTAAAAAGAAAAGAGCGTGAAAAAAGAGGGTGACAGAATGGAAGAGATGGAGGATGGAGAATGTTCTAGAAGCTTCGGGCAAAATGTGTACTGCAGCACAAATGGGACGCATTGTTGGGATCAGCATTGCAAAAAGTCAGGGATGCGATGTTCTAGAATGTTCAGTGCCGTGGGGGTGTGGCGCAGTAGTGGGACTGAACTGTTCACATCTGCTCTTCATTCTTGGCTTATTAGCTGTTGTATATGCGATCAATACATGTAGAAAGTAAATAATTACCGATTGCTTAGTTTCTATATGTCGTGCAGGTTCCAGCTACTTTCATAGTACTGAATGATGGGCAACAGGGAATTGCCAGATTTCCCCATTCATGTTTTGACTTGCTGTACTATAACGAGTGTGATTGAGATTGCCTTCAATGTACGGATTGATTATGCAGGATGCAACGAATGCCTGGCTGTGTCTTGTAGCGAATTTACGTTTTAAGATAAAGCAAGGTGTTAGTTCAATGACGTCATTGAACATAGTTATGCGTTATTTGCGTGGGAGGGAAATCGGCTGAACATGCAGTTACAGAAGCTGTGTGGTAGTAACACGTTGTGCAGATGCAAATTAAGAAATCTACCGACTATTTTGCTTTGTATGTGCGTACGTGGTGGAATTTATCGGCATGCATTCAAAATCAAAATTGTCTCACATTGCATGTAAAACATTATTAGAGTGTGTTGACTACATTTAGTGTCAACTCAAGAACTCTATTCAAGTAAATTATGTCTTTATGAGTTATATTCAATCATCGTTGGTGCGAAATTCTTTGGAAAATTTTTATAAAACCAATCCTGTTGCTCTACTACGTCTCTCGGGTATCGTGGTCAGTTGAATAATTAACTTCAGTGATTAAAGCATCGTCACCAGCTCTTGGTGTGACTGCATTAAGATTTCTTCAAACTCTTTTTATATTAAGGGCTTTTGGTAGTCAATGAAATGCTCAATCTAGAACTCTGCAAATAGAAGCAGTTCGTTATGAAGCTATTTGTTTAAATGTTTTCTTGAGGTTTTGCTTCACTCTATTCTTATTGCTTTTCATCTCCAAGACATGATCTTTCACAGGTGTTTAGATGCTGTGTATTGATTATCAGATATCAAGTCTTTAGTAAATAGAAAGGATAGAAGTTTGCTGGACACTTTTAAATGTTAGCTGATATGTTAACGATTGCAGAGGTCAAGGAACTAATCGCGAAGCTACACAAGGATTACTCTGCAGTTTTTGTGGAAAGCGCGCTTCATTATATTATATATATTGCCTGCACTTTAGCACATTGTGGCACAGATTTGATTGCAAATAGCTTGCAGTTCCTTCCGCTGATGCTTAAATTCATCCTTTTTGGCGGTTTGGTTGCTGCCCGATCATTTGACAATATCACATTTTCCTTCAATTTTTTCAAAATTATCAGTATAAATCTTATTTTTCAGCTACATGATTTCAGGTAGTAACCCGCCGAATGTACCCTTTTACTGTTCTCGCGAATTTAACTCCTAGCAACGATGCCTGGCTCAAGCATTTCAAAAAAGAATCAGTCTAGATTTATTATATACGTGCACAGTATGCAATAAAATTCATGAACTTTGTTTGAGACTTATGCTCTCATCGTTAGGTACTTCATATTGTGTGTATAATCAAGCAGATCTGCTAAATTATGTTCCTTTTAATCTTCGTCATCTGGTTTATACTCTTCAATTTCCTGCACTATTCTCTCGATTTCATCCTTGATCGGTCAACCTTTGTCATTAATAATGATGATTCTTTGCTTTCCAATTGGTTTATCTTCAGCTGATATGTTCAGGTTAACACTTTGACTTTAGCATGCACAGGTTTTTCACTAACAATATTCACGTTTTTAAACCTAATAAGTCAGTCAGTAATCAGATCTGCACGTCTTGTATTGGCAGAAGGAGTAGAGTAAAGTTAATAAATTATTATCTTTCACAGTTAGTGCCAGCGATTTGATTACTGACTATCATTAGGAATTATCCTGGGACAAGTTAAGTCACCTGTAATGATTTGAAATTAACAAATATCGTATAGTTGAAGGGTTTTTTACATTTACGGCTGCTTAAGAAAAGCTCCGTCATTTCCATTTTAGCGAGAACCGTTGACGAGATCTTAGGTGTGGAAGTTCTCTTTCTTCTCTCTTTGTACTGCACTTCAAATGTTGGTTTACCACCACCAGGATTAATAATTTTAGAAACAAGCTCTTGAAACTTGTACTGTCAAAATAATATGATTCCTGATGACAGCTATCCTTCTTAGTATAGAATGTTTTGGGGAATTCTTGTAGTTTACAGATGTGCTATTACTAGCGAAGATGGGATATAAATCTAACATTTGTAGCATGAAATTATAGGATTCACTTGTAACGCTTGTGAAATATTATCGGAACCATAAATAAGAATAGACAAATAAGCCGAAGAAAGAATGCAGCATACTTCTGACGAAAATGATATTAACTTGAAAGGATATACGCATTCATCATAAGTTTAAGTAGTGTGGGCATCTGTATATCTATTAACAACTGCTAACATCTTTTTAAACAGAGTGGTCCTCAAATACCACATACCTTCTTATATACAGTTCCCTTTAACTGCAGGATTATGTGCGCATCTTTTGTCTGCAACCCAAGGAATCAGTAACAATCCAACTAGAACTTTCATACCGAAAGGCTTTGTTTCGAATACTTATTAATCGATCAGCAAAAATTTGGTATTGCCCAACTGCAAGAATTAAGCCTTCTTACGTAAAATACACGGACTCGTATATTTTCTTCAGTGGATGAACAAGAGCACTTAGACTAGAGTATTTATATTTTAATCCTACCTTTAGCCCATGGATTATCCTGCTAATTAAGCAGCAGAGCTTATTTATAATAAATAAGGGCAACGAATTTGTCTCCAATTCTTACAATGTCTTCAGTTAGCACAAGCTATATATCTTGCATTTATTTACCTCGGTTCGATATTCAGGTTTTTTCCCAATTCAGTTTCACAGTCTATCATTTAAAGAGTCAAATTCACATGAATAATTAATGCGCTGCACATATCATGTTCACATATCCAAGAGTTGTGTGTAATTAAAACGATGGGATATGTCTGACTGACGTATTTGAAAGGCTGTATTTGTTTGGCTACAGCTTGAAACAGTTTGAAAGTGGTAGAAATATAATACAGATGGATGACGAGACTGAAAGGGTAAGAAAAAGTGCAATAGGGAATATCGGTAACAACAAGGAAAGCGTGTAAGAAAGAGAGGAAATATCCGAGAGTACTCTCGAATAACTCAGGATCAAAGGCGCATTTGGTTTGAAACATGCTGCTTATAGCGTCCCTGCGCACATATTTCTTGTTTTACTTTTTGCACAAGTAGTGCAAGAGTTGCATAACAGATTTACATCATTGAAGAACAATCTTGTTCTTTTATTAATGGTTAAGATATCACGTATGTTTAGAGTGAATGAGACTGCGTGATGTTCTTTGCTGTACAGCACTGCTCACTGCATAGTAAGCAAATCTGAATGTTAGCATTTTTGAACTGCACAACTATGAATATTATTGTGAGAATGACCGAATAGAATTGTGTTCATTAAATTATGATGCGACAGGAATTATGCGAACTCCTCGCATAACGAGATTTGGTTGCACTTGAGGGTTGCTGATGGAAGTCGAATAAAGTATCCGACCATCATTAATAATAGCATGTGTTGTCTAGGATCATCGTTTCTATGTAACAATAAGTGCTAGTATACGCTTAATTTAACATTTAAACGGGATAAGCGATTTCAAATTCTTTCGAATACTTGAGAAATTTACAGCTATTTTCTGGAACTTGAACACTACTTCCATCTTTTAGGTGTGACGTTTCTTCACATATAATAAATATTAATAAGTACATGTGCTGCATATAGTTTAAATGTTGCATGTTCTGCTTTTTGCTCTTGATTCAGTAATTGTATTATCGTAATTGACTTTTATTAACAAGACAAAAGTATCCTTTATTTCAACTTTTATTAATTGTGTCAACAAAACAGTCGGAGTCTGTTTTGAATTATTAGATGCAAATTGATTATTTGTTTTTTCTAAAGCTATTACTTTCACATCTTAATCAGGTAACTTTTTTCATGAACAAACAGCTTGGGTAAAATAGTTTACTAATTTAGCTTTATTAAGACTGAAAAACAAAAAAGTTCTCCACCAATCAAAAGTTTTTCAAAGAATAGCAATATGCAACTTACTATCATAAAATGGTGGAATAAGCTGCATATATGTTTAGACATTTCAATAGTTAAGCATTAAAAAATTTTTCAATTCATTCACCTCGTTTCTTCCCAAATCCTATATTAAAGCAAACGATTTGAAAATTCAGAATATATTGTCGAAGTAGAGACGAAAAACACTTGCCTAAGTGTGGACAGATTGTCTTGAAATAAATCATTTGTCCTTTGTGACTGGCGCTGGCTTTTAAGTTTGTTATGTGCTGTTGTATTAATCACGAAGGTGTTGAGTTAATTTCAGCTCAGAAAAGTTAATTTGTTGATATAAGTGTCAGAAAAAAAATATAATATACTAAAAATCCTTATTCGGGCATATTCAAGTTTCTAGTATTGTTCATGTCAAAGTGATAAGTATATTCTGAGATGAAATCTAATTTCACAGTACCCAGGCATTCTTTTTCTTAATTTGAATCAACAAATTTCTCCAGTCTTCTTATTTGATTCCAAAAACTGGGTGTTAAATAAGATTGGGAAATACCTTGAAAAACTGTAAACTTAATAAAGATAAAAGGTCATTAAGCTGCATGAATTACTTTGAACCTATAATTTTTTCTTACCTGTTAAATATTCTTAAAATTCGTCTCGATCACGTAGAGTTTCACTAGTGTCCCGCTGTGTTTACACAAACGAAAGGATGAAAAGTTCGTAATGCCGTCAAATTTCCGCCTAAATAGTCATCGGAAAATTATATCTCACAATTCTGCACCATCTCAAATCAATTAAAGAAACTAATGGCAAAAAGATTAGTCATTAGTAAATGTAAAGTAAAATTAAACTATGCATAGCAATTGACAGTGATGTCAAAAATTTATTAGTAAATATTGCACTATTTAATATATTTGTTACAGAAATTATAAACACATCAACTGTTATAATTTAATACATATGACCACGGATTAACGTTGAATTCATTTTTTTCATCTCAAAAGCTCCTATGAAGTTTCCAGCCATTATTATTCCAAGAGATGTTCATCTTCACGAAATTTGTTTTACAATAATTAAGGTAAAGTATTCGAACTGTTAGAAACATAGAGCGCAGAAAGTTGAAAGTTCATTGAAAAAGTCATCTGAGAAAAAGAAACCTGTTGTTGCACAAAAATTTTCATATTCAAACTGAAAAACCACTGTTGAAGAGTTACTCAAACAACAGTATAAGTAAAGAGTCAGATGTCTAGTTTTGTGGAGTTTCATAAGAATGAAATTATTGTAAATCGTGATTTTGTTCGTTTTAGCAAAA